GATAAGAACTACATAAACCAATGCATTTTCCTTTATGCTTCTAAGTTAAGTTGATACTTCGAGGTTCCCACCTTTTTTATTCCTTTTATGGTTTTTGTAATACAATTCCGAAGTGTCTGCAATCGTGCAATCCAAGAGACTAAAACTCATTGGCACAATGTTTTTTATTCAAGTAGAATACAGCTAGTAATATTGATGAGCATATATTGTTAGCCAAAATTATAAAGTATTTTCACAAAAGCACTATTCAATTGTATATCCAATCTGTTTTCTTTCAAAAAAATAAATAATAAATAGACACCTGCTTTTTATGCATGTACAAAATAAAAGCTACTTGAGTGTCTGCTTAAAATTAAACTTGGAGAAGATATAGTATGTTAAAGCACTAGCCTTGAGATTTTATTTTTGTAAGTTATAAGAGACTTGAAGATTTGGGATAATATTGTTATACTATATATATGATATACATTTTTATTAAAGGTGCATATATATATATATATCTTTTTATTACAAGAATAAATTGTATTATCCAATACACAATCTATAGGGATTTCTATTGCTTAGAGTACATTAATATAATACATATAGAGTAAATAAAAGAAGCCTAGTAAGAGATAGAGAGAGTCTTTATATACTGAATATATAAAAGAATCGATTCGAGAGTAGCAGCAAAAGGCACTCTTTAAATTAATAGAAATATATTTTTTATAAAGGTGATTTATCAACTCACATAAAAGTACTACGATTAGGCGTACTCTTACACTTGTTTGATTAGCAGAAGCACACTATCAAAATGCTTCAAATTATTATTATTTTATAAATAATAAGCCAAATAACTATAGCCATTTTTTATGTCTTGTATGTTTTGTATTCTTTACCAAACACCTCTTGTCTTGGTGTGCTTGCTTTATTAACTTCATAATTAACTTGGTAACCTTTGAAAGGAAACAAAGAGAGTGAGAGAAAATATAAAACGTGTGATACATATCTGTATGAATTTATCTATATTGGGTTTCCTTGTTTGGACTTAGCCTGTTTATTTGCATGATCTCCCCCCTATCTTTTATATCATGACGGCCTTAATTTTTCCGAAAACGCCTTTCAAGGCCTGGCCTTTATGAAACAGTAGATACATTTAAAGGATACTACAACTTAACACTGCAAAAAGTAAGCATATAGATACTGAGTGTAAGAGTTGGAAAGCAAGACCAGTGCTATATTTTAAAAAGGCTTTCTGTTTTCATTTTTCAGCTTGTGTATATACAATATTATAATCAGGTACTTTCTCTGAAAAGTATTTGTAGTGACGGAAACAAATGATCAACGTGACCAACACCACACAGGATGCATCCATCCATCCTCCTCCCCCTATCTCCCCCAATCTTTTGATTGATGTATACTTTCAATGAATTTTATTGGACTAAAGTGAGGGAGGCGTCATCATCTCCCCATTTCTGTTTTTATAACTAGAGAAAAATTTTCGCGTCTTTTGGTTTTCCTTTTTTCCCTTTTTCTTTGTACTGGCCGTGTCTACTGGTGGAGACGATGGAGAGCTTCTGGTAATATATGGGTTTATGTCCGGCCGGTCATCGTTTATACACAGAAGCCAAGAGGGTCTTCCGATAGCCATGCTTCTTTTCTTATGAACGGCTAGCCAGATCACTTTAAGATAAGTATATGATTTTTTACGTTATGTGCGATGCAACTTTGAATACTAATTAATCAAAGCCTGTGGAGTAGGCGACTTTAAGAGTTCAAAAGACGTTCATAAAGCCTTGGCAATATTATTTTGTTAAGCTTGTTGAGCCGATTTTGGACTCTTACGACCGACCGCTCTCTCTTTTTGTTTCTTTCTTTCAAAAGGGCCCGATGGAGTAGTAGCCACGGGTCAACCATGGTCTATCGAGCAAGTCCACAAGCGCGCGTGTAGCGTGTGAGCCGGTTGTCCGTATTCCTGTGTATTACTGGTTGCTTTCTGTCGTCTCTTCTGGTGGGCGCGGCTGGTACCATCTTTTTTGGGTTAGTTCCCGTTGCTTGTTCCCTCCCGTTGCTTGTTCCTTCCCTATGCCTTCCACGGCGGTCCATGTTATTTGAAAGGTACTGTTGCTTGTTGCTTTTTTTGTTAGTCTGTTGCTTCCGCCAGTGGGACTTTTCTGCCAGTGGGTTTGTTGCTTCCCACTGGTAGGCCCTTTCCTCCTACCAGTGAACCTGTCATCTCTCGCCAGTGGACCTTTTTATATAGCCGCCAGTTGCCGGTTGCCGGTTGCCAGTTGCCAGCCGCCCATTTTCCTTCCACTGGCGGGTCCATCTATCTCACTGGTAGGAGCCATTTATCCCACTGGTCGGACATTTGCTTCCTGTTGCTTCCTGTTGCTTCTGCCGGGGAACTCGATGGTTCCATTTCTGCCGCAAAGTTGTCGGCTATGTCGTGTCCTCAAGACACCTCGTCAAAAGCCGATAAGGCTCACCAGAAGCCCAACAAGGGCGCCTAGAAAAAGGCTACACCAGCCCATAAGAGAGGCCAAAGTATGCGCCAGAGCAAAGACCAATCAGGCCCACAAGACAGGCTAATGTAAGTGTCAGGAAAAGGACCAAACTATCTCAAAACATAATCTAATTGTTTTTGTATTGTTACAATGCAGGCTCCAAGTGCGCACCAGATAAAGGGCAAACCGGCCCACAAGAAAGGCCAAAGTATGTGCCAGCAAAAAGGGCAAACCATCCCACAATAAAGGGCACGCCGTCCCACAAGAAAGGCCAAAGCATGTGCCAGAAGAAAAGGACAAACCGCCCCACAAGAAAGGCCACAGTATGTGCCAGCAAAAAGGGCCAACCAGCCCACAAGAAAGACCACAGTATGTGCCAGCAAAAAGGGCCAACCAGCCCACAAGAAAGACCACAGTATGTGCCAGCAAAAATGGTTAACTATCCTACAAGAGAGGCCAAAGTATGCGCCAGAGCAAACATCAATGCGGCCCACAAGAAAGGCTAATGTAAGTACCGTAAAAAAGGGTGAACTATCTCAAGACATAGACTAATCATTTTTTGTATTACTACAACACAGGCTCCAAATGCGCACCAGAGAAAAAAAAGGCTTTTCAGAGACCCTCAAGGTCACTGTCAAGATTCAAAGCCAAATCAAGATAGATAGTCAAAAAAGAAAAGAAGAAAAAGAGAAAAAAATATATAAAAAGAAAATGAAAAGATACAAAAAAAAAGAAAAAAAAGAAAAGAAAAACAACCAGAACAATATTGACCAGAAAAAATTGTGCTCACAATTATCTCTCTATCTCAGATCAAACCCCATAGTCACTAGTACAATCTCCAAAATAGTCAAGCCAAGGTCCATTGCTATGTCCAAGTCCAAGTCCAAATCCAATTCCAAGTCTTGTCCAAGTCAAAGTCCAAATGTCCAAAAACTGTCCAAGTACTGTTCTAGTACTAGTCCTAGCACACAAACATATACAAACAAATAGAGAAGTACACAATTAGAGAAGTAGACAAATACATACACACACAAACACACACAATTTCTATTTTTCTATTTCTTTCTTACACACACACACACACACACACATACACACACACACACACACACACACACACACACACATACACACACACACATACACATACACATAGTCATAGTCATAGTCATAGTCATAGACATACAAACATACATATACACACTTATATACATACATATATACATAAAAAAGTAGAGGCGCATTTCTATCAAAGTCCAAAATCTGGGTTGTACCTCCAAGTCTCAAGGCCAAGTCGATTTCCAAGAAGGGGTCCAATGCAAAGTTCCAAAAGCAAGTTCCAAAAGAAAAACCAAAAACCAAAAACCAAATCCGAGGCCTATACTAAGTCCTGTAAAAAAAACAGGCATATACTAAGTCCTCCTCTCCAAAAGGATCAAAAGAAATCCGAACTCGAGGCATATACTAAGTCCTCCACTCCTAAAGGATCAAATCCAAAAACCGAGGCGTAGACCAAAACCTATCAGAAATGATCAGGCACATTAAGTCCTCCACTCCAAAAGGATCAAAAGAAATCCGACCCTGAGGCCTATACTAAGTCCTGTCCAAAAATCACACAGGCATATACTAAGCCCTCCTCTCTCTCAAAAAAAAAAGCAAAAAAAGCAAAAAAAAAAAACAAAACAAAAAAAAGCAAAAAAAAAGCAAAAAAAAAAGCAAAAAAAAAGCAAAAAAAAAACAAAAAAAACAAATAAAAAAAGCAAAAAAAAAAAGATGAACAAACCGGAAGAACACTGCATTGGAACCTGGACCTGGATTGAAGCAAAGCTGCGAACTGGAACAAGACTCTGGATCAGGACAAGGTATGAAATCCCTTTTTACATATATACATACAAAGCAAATGAAGTCTTTGATCAAAAACAAAAAACAAAAAACAAAAAAAATGCTCAAAAAAAGAAGCTCAAAAAAAAACAGAAAGAGCAAAAAGAGCAATACCAAAACCCCCTTCTCTTATTACTATTATGTGAAATTGACTGGACAAAAAAAAAGAAGTAAAAAAAAAATCAAAAAAAAATCAAAATCAAAAATCAAAATCAAAAAGTCCAAATTATCCCCTTTACTAAGTGTGCTGTGTTCGGACAAAAAAAAAATCAAAAAAAAAAAAGTCCAAATTATCTTTTTTATTCTTTTCAATATCAAAATCATCCTCATTATTATTTCGTGAAATTGACTGGACAAAAAAAAAAGAATCAAAAAAAGAATAAAAAAAACAAGAAAAAAAACAAAAAGTCCAAATTATCCCCTTTATTATTTTTCAATACCAAAATCCTCCTCCTATCACTCTTAGCTTATATTGACTGGACAAAAAAAAGAAGAAAAAAAACGGACAAAAAAAATCAAAAGAAAACGGACAAAAAAAAAGATCAAAAGAAAAATCAAATGGACCAAGAAAAAAAAACCGACTGGACTTGACTGGAACCGACTGGACTCGACTGGACTAGCATGGCCTGGAATATCTTAGTATACTTAATTTAATTTAACTTAACTTATATTCCCCTTATAAAAATCTTTGAACAATAAATTTTGATCTCATTTGACTTTGATATTATCTTTATGTTTTTGTCTCGTTTTGATTTTGGTTTTACATTTGTCTTTAAAAATTCTATTGATAATGTTTTTTGGTACTACTATATTACACTTGAGAGTTGTCTTATTATACTTCTGTTCCATGGTAAGATAGACACGGTATATTTTCTAATGAGGCGTTCATTCAGTTTACTATAGCACGGCGGGATTTCTTTTGATATCGCTCACTGAAATCAGCTTTGAAGTGGTGGTGTGTCTGTAAAAAATGACCCAAAGTAGTTTACTAGCTCTCTTTAATTTGTTCTTTCTTAAGATTGTCCTTCTACCGATATTCATTTTCTTGTCGCTGAACTTATAATTCCACTATATAACCCACCCACAATATACCATTAAGTTTGTCTCTAATAATAATACTGTTGGCTGTTGTTTTATTATTACCTTTTTCTACTGTCTTGATTTTGTTAAAAAAAAATTCACAGTGGAAGCTAACAAGGAACGTACCCGACCTATCAGACAAAAAAAAGCATATAGTCCTAAGGACAACTAAGTAACGAAAATGGTAGCATGATAAGTTGAACCTTCTTCGGGGATGTAATAATCCTGAATCTTTTGTGGTTCAATCATTAGCATTCTCAAAGCCTCCACTATGGCTATAGAAAGTACCAGTCTCTACAGAAAATAGGCACCCACTTGACATTCATTTCTCTCGCAGTCTTTTTCTTTTTGGCTAGAAAATAATTTCGTCAACATTCCTTCATAAAAGTTACATCGATCATTATTCTCTTTCTTTTTTATATCTTTAAAAATCCTTCACCTCTTCACTTGGCTGGACTCACTGCTGCTTTACCCTATTTTTGGCGTTCTATATGAAACCCGGCGGAGGTAGAGGCCTCGAGGAGAAGACGAAATCTGTAACAATTTTAAGCAATGTAGTTTTGTAACAATTTCTGCCTGTGGAGTTTGTTACAATTTTACTAGTAGAGATGTAAGCAGGTAGTCTCAGAATATTGAGCGCATGTAAAGACCTGGGCCTTACGTTCGAAATATCTATCGTTCCCCATCAGTCTCCACCATATGTACTCGCTCGAAATTGTGCCTATTAAGACTGACTTGGTCTGGTATCGTTGTGTATTCAGGATCCATAAATATATCGCCCGAATTTCTAAAGAGAATATCTCTTTGAAGTTCCTATTCCTGCTGAAATTCGTTCCCAATTCAGGTGCCATCAGTACCTATTTACTTATTCTTAATTCTTTCATTTCATTTATTTTTTCTTACATATTTATTCCACCTGTGTTATTACCAGCTGTATTATTTATTTATCCTAGACTTGGGCTTTTTCAAAACTGTTCCCCCCCCCCCCCCCCCCCAATAGAATTTTTTTGTGCTCTCTTACTTTTTCGTGAACTATTATCTTTCATTTTTTGCATGTTTTTTCTTACCTCTCGTATTTAGGCGGTTACTTTATTCTTTTCATTTATTATTTATCTAGAGCTGTTACCAAAAAAAAAAGATAGCTAATACAGGTACTGGTTGTATAATTTTCTATAATTATATTTACCAACTCTTTATTGACTTTATTTCTACAAAATCTTTATATATTTTTTAAAAAAAAATAAAAACCTTATATTTAGATAGTTATCTCCAATAAGCCAGACAGACTCAAAAAATTCTGTGACCAATAAATCAAAGATGTTCATAGAGAATAATCAAGGTGACGTGAATCAATTGATATAGGGGACAAATTTGTTTTTGATTCTCGATAGGGGGGAATCATGGATCATGGATCATGGATCATGGATCATGGATCATGGATTTTGATTTTTAGCTGTGGGTTTTGTGGATCAGGATTTTTGGCTGTATTTTCCGATAGATGCCAAACATCAGATACGATGACCCCTTGTCTTTGGCCTAAAAATGGCAACAAAGTGAAGAAGAAGCATGTAAATCTCCACTGACACCCAACGAGCACGGACCTTTTGAAATAGTATATAAAGGCTTGACATTTTTGCACTTCTTTCCTTTTTATTACATACTTTTAACCTCGTCTCTTCTACCAAGCCTTTCTTTACCTTTACCTTTACCTTTACACCACACAACCAACACTCTACAATGCAGATCCTCTCTATCCAAAAGCGTATTATCTCAAAGTGCCAGCGTCGCCAGTCTTCAACTACTAATACCACAAGCCGTGTTTCCACATTCACTTCATCAATGGATCAATGCATGAAAGGCCTCGCTTCAGTCAAGAAAGCCTTTAGCTGTAACAAAGTCCAAAACACAGTCGCACCTTCAATGATTTCATCTTCATCGACAATCTCTGATGACTCCTTTGTTTCTGCCCTTTCTGATGACGAGAACTTTTCCAAATCTTGCCCAGTATCTGAAAAATCCATGGCCCTGGATTCAATTATCTTTGATCATCCTTCAGTCACAGTCCGCATTAGACCAGCCGCCTATCGCTCCTCTTAAATCGATTTCAATCATTTGTACATACAACCACTGTAAAAAAAAATACCCACATACCCACCTATACACTGTATCATAAGCCAGCCCTTTTTCAACCAATATATATATATATAATATCCACTGCATTATCTATACATCATCAAAATTATCACACCCAAACAAGAAAGCTCCCTAAACCAAACTCCTAAAATAAAATATAAAAAAAAGAGAACCATAAATAATACATGTGGTTGCTCTTTTGTCTTTAATACCAATAAATATATGAATTTCATATTTCTCTTAAAAAACATGTACTTCTTTTGTCTCTGACTGTCTTTGTATTCTACACGCCTTTTTTTTTAAAAAAAATAAAAATGTTGCTTAAATCCATATATTTGGGCTATTTCATTTATTTGTATTTTTACAGCTGCTATAAAAAAGTATTTTCTGCTTTGAAATTAAGGTTAAAAATGTGTGTGTAACACTTATTACTTTTGCCTTCTTGGTTTTGACGATACACTAAGAGCAACTCAAGTAGTGTATGATAATTGCAGCCATAATACCAACGGTACTAGATAGACTGAAGGGAGGGGTTTCTTTCCTTAAAGAAAATAAAAGGATACATCTTGATATATATATAGATACTTAGTCAATAAAGTCTATTGTTTTTCTTTACAATTAGTGAAAGTGTTTGGGATTTACTGTAAGCGCATGCAGCTATTTGATGGTATCCCACGCAACAAAAGGAAGTAATCTGTCATTGTACGCATTTTGTGCTATAAAGGCAACTAAAAATGGTATTGCTTGGTCTACCTCTCTGAAAGATGATAGACAGTAATTTACCCAAAAAATCATTGATAGATTATATTTATATATATTTGATTATTCATTTTCGTTGTTTTTCATTTCTCTTGATGTTGCTTTAATAGAAATTATGAATAATCCTGAAAACCATCCTGAAAATCAAAAAGGTCAATATCTATTCCAGATATTACAGCATACTTTACAGGCAAGCAAAGACTTGAAAGATCCATTCGATGGTATGTACTCAGCCAGCACTACGATACCTTACATATCTACCATTAATGTAAGATTGTTGCTTTTTTGGCTATCCCTGAGAATAGAATATACTTCTTTAAACCCTTGTGTTTTTCAAGATGATACTGCATTCAACAATACGAGTAGCTTAATCGTATACTGTGCACCAGACATTCGCTCAAAACATAATATACTTTGTAACAACATTCAAAGTAAGAGATATGTGTATAAACTTAATAGCTCTTAAACCTACTGTGCTATTTCAGATTGATTTTCTTACAGCTGTTGTTTGCTTCTTTCTGTTCATATCCAAAATAAAATTTGATATTGCTTTCTTCATAGGTATTTGTGATAAACAAGAGGAATTGATCAAACAGATGTTTCTTGGTGCACATTTAGCTGCTGACTTGGCCAAGAATAATATATCCGCAGAGAATATAATGTTATTGGTCAGTTGAATATATATATACAGACCCATATCAGTACTGAATAAAATTTTAAGATTCCGCCAAATCAAGGCATCACCATTACACTACTTTTTATTTATTTTTTCAAAGCTTTTCCTCATTCGAATCTCACCATGTCTCACCAAAACAAAAAGGAAACTCTTCCCAAACGAAAGCAGCTTTCAGATTATCAAAGTGGACTGATAATTGGTGGTGCTATAGTAAATGGCACTGCTGCTGAAATTTCTGAGAATAATGGTATACCTCTAGCAACGGTGTATTCCACAATCAATAGATGGAGAGATACTGGAACCGCATTTCCTGATAAGCGAAAAGGAACTTTGAAGATAATGGATGAGCGAGATGAGCGTCACTTGATTAATGAGATGAAGACGAATCGTGAGACAACACTTGGGGGTCTTACCACCTTCATGTCTGACACCCTAGGGCATCCCATCTCCAAGTCTACCATTCGTCGAACTATTCGTAGATCTGGATTGTCTTCTTGTAAAGTTGTATACAAGCCACTGCTATCAAAAGCACACAAGAAGAAGCGGTTGGCATTTGCTAATCATGCCAGAGAGACCAATCAGAGATGGGATCGCGTCATCTGGAGCGATGAGTCAAGGTTTATGCTTTTCAGCAGAGATGGCAATACTAGAGTATGGCGGTATCCTCAAGAAAAATACAGAGAAGAGTTCATTAGACCAAGACTGCAGTGTGGTGGAGGCTCCATTATGGTTTGGGGCTGTGTATGGGCAAGAGGAGTTGGCCCATTGAAAACCATAAAGAACACGTTTGACCAGTATGCATATATGGACTTAATGAAAAGGAAGCTTCTTCCATTTATGGAATCTCTTAGTGAGAACAATGATGGGGAGTTTATCTACCAAGAAGATAATGCTCCTTGTCATAAGTCTAAGCTTGCAGAAGAGTGGAAGAAGCGTCAGAACTTCCCAGTGATGGTATGGCCGCCGAACAGTCCAGATCTCAGCCCCATAGAGAATTTATGGGCATATCTTACCAGAAAAGTGAAGGCCAGAGTCCCCTCTCCAAAAAATCTTAATGAGCTGGAGAGGGCTATTCATATAGAATGGAAGAATATTCCGGCTGACGTTTGCAAGACACATTGCATGTCAATGCCTAATCGCTTACATGAGATGAAGAAGGCTCGTGGAGGGTCAACACATTATTAATTTTTTTAATAAATTTATTTTTTATTTTTTTAAGAGCCATATCTTAGTATATATATGTTTTCAAACATGGGGTGTTAAGTGAATATAGACAAACTAGTGTAAGAATGTTAAAGAAGTTGATGCCTTGATTTGGCGGAATCTTAAATTTTTATTCAGTACTAATATGGGTCTGTATATATATATATATCTTCATTTCTTCTGCCTTACACCTTTTACCAATAATGATAGAAATTGTTAGATCAATTCAATTTACGTTTGGTTCTGGTACAACTAACCTTAGGTCCACATAAACCATCTGAATATAAACCTTGAACTTGAACTTGAAAAAGAAAAAAGCCGAAAGAGTGAAAGTGAAATCAGTATCATTCAAAGAAATCTCGATCATGTAAAATCAAGAAGGCACAATATTTTGAATGGGGTTGAATTAGCCAAAGAGGATGAAAAAGAGGTAATTTATATATTTTTTAAAGAGGTTTTGCGACAAAATTCCAACGTCGACATTTTTTTTGTTTAGCCTCCATTTGACTATGAAAGTATAAAAGACAAGCAAGATATGCTGTTTCGAATACAAGAATCACAGCTTGAATTATCCACATCTGAAAAGAATACTGAACTATTGACCGATGCAGTTGCGAAATACATCATTAGTGTAGGTAATTATCGATGTAATATCATGACTTTTAAATCCCACTACGAGAGACTCGCATCCGAGTTGAAGGATTTAAAGAGACTACTGAGGAACTACACTTTGTTTGACTTTGCCATCCAAAAGAAACCTAAAAACATCAAAAGGTGCAGTTCTGAATCCAATATTGTATTTACCCAAGGGGCCCGGAAAGAGCCAGGGTTTATGTCTTTGGGAGACAGGATCAAATCAAAAGATGTAGGTAATTGTGACACTGAAAGTCCATCAGCATATATTTAAAAGGATCTTTTATTAGGATTAGCAGTATTGTCTTCTTTCTTACAATAGTATTAATATTACAAATAAAATTAGGCAAATGGATCGATGACAGATACTCTTTCAAATCAAATCATTGACATGTCCAATAAGCTCAGTGCTCTTATTGATAAACAGTCGAGAACAGTGCCAGATTATCAAGACGATCATGGTGTAGATCTTGAGAAGAGAAAAATGCTATCGAGTGGCCCTAATGGAATTGATTGTAACAAGATATCTGAACCACATCCTCACAAAACTGTGCCTGCCAAAAGACCAAACTTTGAGTATCTCATTAATAAGATATACTTTCATATAAGTTGTGGAAGGCAGAATATTCTACACCAAGAGTATATTGGTTTAATACCCAAAATAAAAAGTAAGAGTGAAAATGAATATCTAGGGGTCTATGCCAAATATTAAAGAAAAGATACAAAAATATAGAAACTGTAGAATTTCTCTTCTTCTTATCTTTCTTCCTTTATTGAATGGTCAAAAAGTACTTTCTTGGTCGTTGGTTTTTGTTTTGTTTGTTTGTATGTTTGTTGAGGTTATCTATCTGTGCTCGCCAGTTTGTATTCAAAGATTAATATATCATATTTTTTTTCATTACAAGCAAGAGCTTTTATTGTGCAAAATTATCACTACACACACTTTTATGATTTTGTTAATCTTCCAAAAACAGCCTATGTTTTAAAACCAAATGTACTTTTATAAATGTTCCTAATTGTTTATTTGATGTCTTTCTTATTCTCCTAGACAAAAATGAAGGAGAAGAAGAGCTTTATCTATGCGCGCTTATTATTATATATATATAACAGTAATAAGCCTCTTCCTTCTTCTCCTGCCTATTAACAGATAATGAAATGTATGTGTGTGTGTAATGTACACTTCCAGTGAGGACAGATTATGCTATCTGAAGAGAAAATTTTAATTTCATCGAGTTATTCACATTTATCTGGGAAATTTTGTTCAATTATTACTATTATTTCAATTACTGTAAGGTAATAGCTTATAATTAATAGATACTTTGTTGGGTTTATCAGTGCACTTTTTCTATATATTGTAGTTATACATTATTCTAGCTGTAAAATTAAAGAAATAAAAATATACATGCATCTTTGTGTGTGTATATGTGTGTTTGTTTCAATAATTTATTATTTAAAAGGAAGATTTCTAAATATCATTCTTGTAGGCCAATTTAGCCAATAATATGCAAAAATGGACGATCTCAATCCAAAGCGAACAAAAAGAAAAGAAAAGAAATGCCCTTTACAAATGTTTGTATTTTAGTATCGACCTGTTTCATTCACCTATTTTGATATTGATAGCAATAGTACCAGTAATCGTACCAGTACCAGTACCAGTAATTGTAGTGGTAATAAAGCGAGAGAAATGATTTGTAAACCGTTAATTTCATTTCTATCTCTTTCTTCCTTTTTTTTAAAAAAAGAAAAAAGCAATACTATTGTTATAATTAAGCCTCATCTTACTTCCCATATATACTTTTAATTGACTTTTATGGTTTTTGTAAAGACTTCCTTTGCCAAGAGCTTCAGCATCGTCAGTGCAATTTTGCTCTCTTTGTCTGTATCCGTACAAGCCGGCTGTGCAGGAGAACTTAAGGCAAGTTCCCAATCCGAGCTGGACTCTATTCGTGGGTGCAAAGTATACAGTGGAAACATTGTTGTCGACAACTCGGGTGCAGCCGACTTGACTCTGAACGGGGTTGAATCTGTGGAAGGTGATCTGATCTTCAGTGGAAATAATGGACTCCTGCGCCTCACAATGCCAGTTCTGCAGAGTGTGAATGGCCGGCTTTCGCTGTCGAACAACAAGCTGCTGGCCTCAATAGATATGCGCCAGTTGGCAAGCGTGCGTGTGTTTGAGGTCTCTGTTCATCCGGCCTTGAACTCCCTCGCATTCCCTGCCGGTCTGGGAAGTGCTGAGCGCTTCAGTGTTACCGACACAACCGTGACACGGATCGATGGTCTCAAGATGCCAGCAGTGGGTGAATTGGTGATTTCGAATAATATCTATCTCAAGAGTCTGTCTTTTGGAAATATGACCCAGCTGACAGGCAGTGTTACCATGGCTGCAAATTCGCCTGCTCTCATCTTAGACGTAAGAGAATATTGTCTATATATTTCTTATGTTCTTTTTCATTTTACTTACCTGATTATCTAAATGTATGTCTTGGTTAGCTCTCATCTCTTATTAACATGAATGAAGGATCTTTCCGTAACGTGGCAAACGTTGCGTTTGACAACCTGGAAAAAATCAGTGGTGATATATTCTTTATATCCAATTCATTCTCCACCCTCTCATTACCAAAAGTTGCCGGAATCGAGGGCACTTTGACAATCACAGACAATAGTCAGCTCTCTACTCTTTCAATGCCTGAGTTGACTCACTTGGGCGGTGCCTTGTCTCTAGGCAACAACAATCATCTGACATCTGTGGATGCATTCCCTAAACTGGAAGAAGTCGATGGTACTCTTGATATCACCGGTACATTTGATGAAGTAATATTACCAGGTCTAATGGATGTAAGTGCTCCTTTTCTGTCCTTGTGTATATACACACACATATATATATAAATTATATCTAATATTCCTTATCTCTCTCTCTATATATATATATATATATATAGGTTCGTGGTGGCCTTAATGTTCAGACATCCAGCTCTCACTTCTCATGCGATGGAATTAGTAAATTAAAGAGTGAAGTAATCAAAGGAAATGCATATGTTTGCAAGTCGGCTGTCAGTAAACCAAAGTCGGGTATGCCAGGCAAAAATGGAAGCAGTTCGTTTGATGAGTCAAGCAGCGCCACATCTATCAAAGCTGGCTGGGTGGGCATCATGTCTGTCCTTGGCTTATCATCAGTCTATCTACTTGCCTAGAATTGAAACCAAAACAAAGAAAGGAGAAGAAAGTGGGTTTCTTTAGCTCTTGACACTTCTTTTCTTTCTTTTTATTTTTTTATTACTATTCCTTCCTTCACTGCTTTATTTCTTTCAAGTACCTTTTTTTTTTAAAAAAATATTAATAATAAATCATTGTAGACATTATCCTTCTTCCTCTCTTTCTTTAAAGAAAGTTATATAAATTCATACAAGTTATATTTGTACAGACACAGACACAATCAGTCAGTCAGTCAGTCAGATATCCCACGCAAGGAACACAGAATTTAAAGCAAGAAAGAAAGAAAAACAAAGTGCATGAATTAACCACCTAAAACACATTCAGAGTCCGTTATATATATATATATATATTATATATTATATTTTTATAAGCATTCGCACAGCATCTTTAATCTCTTACTCTATCTCTTTAGTCTATCTCTTTTTTGTGCTTTATTAAATACTATGATTTCAGAATCTCCTGCTAATGCTGCAAGTATAAACTTTTTTTTTTAAAAAAAAAATTATACAACGTTGCCATTATCATTATTACTTTTGAAGAAGAAAAAAAAAAGCTCCTCTCTCTTTCTCTTTCCATCTAAAATATGTACATCATAATTATCATTAGGGTCATGCCTTTGTTAATGATGCCGAAGATTATGAAGAAAGAGGTGATTGGGTAAAAGCAGCCCAAGCACATTTGCATGCTGCAGGTGAGAAAATTAACCTCATCAATCCTCATCCTAGTTAGATTCTTAACATAAAAGAGAAACAGTTTTATTTTATTTACTTTCTGGTCATTGACTTTACTAGAGCAATTTCAAAAGGCAATTGAGTATGCACAAGACACAGTGGTAAATGAATAGCAATACTAGTAATAATATATTTTTTATTATTAATATTCGACCAAGACGATAGTAATATATGTATATATGTGTATATGATATTTATTTATTTATTTTTCTTAAAAATTAAATACATTATTTGTTGTTGTTCGTAGGCATCCAAGGCCCTTTCTCTCTTGACAAATGCTCATCGACAAAAAGCTCAAGACATTCAGCGCAGACAGCTCAGAGTACTACAGGCAAAGGACAAAGGACCTGTCATTCAAAGTGTGACCAGTACTGCAGGCTACACGACCATGAGAGACATGAACATGAACGGACTTCGGAATGCTCTCCCAGATACCAACAGAAGGTTTGATCCAAACCAGAATAATAGTGTTTCTACTGGTGCCATTGGTGATTCGTACGCCCTACTATCAAATGATACGGTAACTATTATATGTATAAATATGGACACATTAAACAACAACAAGGAGAGAGAAAGAGAAAAAAGGAGGGATACATATGGAATCACTAAAAAAAAAAAACTTGTAATATTAAGTACTGATTATCTCTCTCTCTCTGTGTGTATGTGTGTGTGATAAATAATAATAAAAGGATGACGAAGATGATTCAGATCCTTTCAACAAATTCTGGGAAGTGGTTGAAACACTAGTAGAAAAACTATCCAATCCGGTTGCATTCGCATCGGCTCCACTCAGTGAGAATGACAAGCCGACACCAACAAGAACAGAAGTGGAGCTGCAACAAGAAGAGAATCAACAGGGAAAGCAAGAGATATCTGCAATGTTGGAATCTTACTTTGTCGTACCTGACCACGCAAATATGGAAAATACCCGGATATTTTTTGATAAACGAGAAAGAGAAGAAAATCAATATCGAAATCGAAATCGGCGAGAACAAGAAGAGCAAGAGGAACGGAATGAACAAGAGGAATACTATGGTGATTATGATGAATATGATAGTAGTAATAATAAAGACAGTACTGGTAATAAAAATGAAGAAGACCAAGAAGGAGGAACAAAGGACGGGAAAGGAAGAGGAAGGAGAAGAGGAGGAACAGGAAGTTCTTTGGACAGAAAGAGGTAAGCCATGTCAATTAAAAAAAAACGAAAGTAATTGATTGATTTTATATATATGAAAATGGACGGGATGGAAAATTGGGATTGTTAGTGTAATGTCCAAAGAAAAAGAAGAAAATGAGCAGTTGAAGCTCAAGGTTGAACAGCTAACAAGAAAGATCCGTACGTTGGAAAAGGTAATAAAAAAAAGTTTATGTTATTCTATATCTGCTTAAAGAAAAAAAAAAGAAAGAAACCAAGAGGCTAAATGGCTTGTCTATGTGTATTGTGTTTTAGACTACTGAAGAGAGTAATATGTTAAAGAGCAGTATCCTTCAATTCCGCAACGATGTACAGAAACAGGCTAAACGGATTATGCTGAACCATGACTCAACAATGCGGTCTTCTGCTGCCTTTGGGGCAGGAAGTGGATTCGCAAGTACATACGGCAGTAGCTACATTCGACCATCCAACAACACTGTTCCTTTTACTGCCACTTCTACTGCTACGGCTACTGGTACTCTTGCTGGTAGTAGTAGTGGTAGTGGGGTTGGCGGAGGAACTTCCTCGGACACAGGTAGTGCCTTGTCCCCAAATCTATCTTCTCTATGCACGACTCAATCGCTTTCCTCTCCTGAAGCAATGAGACTAAAAGAACTCGAAGAAGAGAACCGGCAACTACGGTTGCAAAATGAAAAACAGCAGGCTCTTGTTAATAAATACCGAGAAAGATGGGAAAAGTTAAAAGAAAGTGCCAAGAAAAGACGATCCCAACCATCAGAAGAAGTAATAAGAACAATAAGTGAAATTTTGAAATTTCTGTTGTGTGTGTGTGTGTACATAGTAATAATGATATGTGTATATTATATATATATATATGTGTGTGTTTGTATAGGATACCTTGAGCATTTCCACTACAAGACAACCAACTTTACTCCAATCTCTGGCCCAGCAATCGTCCAGTCAGTCTTCTTATCTTGCATTTGCCAGTTCACGTCACAAATAATATATAAATAAATAAAATATTATTCAAACATTTATACTATTTTTCTTGACCTCTTTTATATGTGTATAATATAAATAGATAGACCAATAGACTAGAATAGAATAGAATAGGTAGAACGGATAAAAGATGTATGATATTCACAAGCAACAATTTATTTTATTTTATACGTTATTTGTACAGTACAGTAAAATACAATACAATACAATACAATACAATACAATACAATAAAATATAATATAATATAATATATATAGTGTGTGTAATTTATTCATTTAGGGAAACAAAAACAAGTAAAAATAAGAATAAAAGAAATAAGAATATAAGAGATAGATAAAAGCAGATAAGTGATAGAGAGATTAAGGAAGAATAACTTATGGGTTATAATTGTATTTCTCCTTCCAAGTGTCGCACACTCTGACTTCATTACCAAGGGTGCCAGAGTTACGCTCAAAGGTGGCTTCTTCGTCCAAAAGTCCCTCACTAGGACCGGGAATACGTGAGATTTCATTGAACATGTGGAGCCAGGACATGGCGTTCCAGACTGTAAAGTACTCTTCGGTCAGGTTTTCCTTGGCGGCTGTGCTGATACGTTCGTGGAGCTCGCTGTCCGAGAAGAGCTTGAACAGGATTTCGGCCACGCCAACCACGTCACCAATTGGGACCAAGAAGCCAGTCTCTTCCTCCTTGATCTGTAGAGGAATACCGCCGGCTTTGTAGGCAACCACAGGTACGCCCTTGGCCAGGGCCTCGGTGACCTTGACCTCGAAGCCTTCTCGGTGAGAGAGCTGGAGGGCCACGTGCGCACCGCTCATAATCATATCCAGAAGCTGGTCCGAAGGAGGCAAGCGGGCAACGATGATGTCTTCGGTGATATTGGCAAACGATGCGTTCTGGGTAACCTCATGAGTCTGTTCGTAAATGATGGTACCGTCAGGGTCATCGATACTGCCGTGGCCGCAGATAACCAACTGAGGAATGGTGTATTCTTCCCAGCCTTCTGCTTCCATTCGCTCACGCAAGAGACGATAAGACTCCAAAACATCAGGAATACCTTTTTATCATTATTGATGAAAAAAAATTAGCTCATATTTCTTTCATTATATACTTGATCTAGTACTTGTATATGCTTATATGATTCTTTTACCTTTTGAAGGATCGAAACGAGCTACCTGGACAATGTATGGTCTGTGCCAGTTGACTTCCATGGCACCCTGATCTACACACACACGGTTAAAGACACCGCGGTAGTAGGCCATACACCAGCCATTGAGTGGTTTGTTGAGACCATCGAGAGGATCTGTGCAGGCAGGTAGCTGAACAACGTTTCGGCGGGGCACGACATCAGGAACAAAGTTCTTGATTGGGTGAGAGACAAACAGATCAGCATGCTGGATAAAGTTCCAGAGGAAGCTATAAAATAAAAATAAAAAAAAGGAAATCAATAAATGCAAATAGATATAAAGTGTAATGGAACTTACTTCCAGGTCTCTGCCTGAGGGCCTTCTGGGTATTCGCGAATCAAATCAGCGCGCATTTCGATGTGCGAGCGGAAGATGATACGAACATTAGGAGCATGCTTTTTGATGTGAGGGATGATACCTGACACTATTAAGAAAAATCATTATTAATTAAATATTAATGAATAATGCCAGTGACAGTGACAGTGACAGTAGCAGTGACAATAGCAGTAGCAGTAGCAGTGATTACAGTATTTAGTGTGGGAAATTTAACTTTTTTAAAAAAAAAACAATTTTTACTTACACTGTGGGTCATCAATCACAATTACATCTGAGTTTAAGATGGGACCCTTGTTGTCAACCCAGAATCGGTTTGCATTGTCGTCAGACCAATCAGTGAAGATTTGCTTCTCTTCCTCGGTCAAGCAAACATCAGGATGTGCTACACCTTGTAGGACATTGTGGAATTTGCGCTTTGTGATATCAAATACTTCAGGCTTGGGACGCGAGACATACCCTAAATATATATATATTTTCATTGATTATTAGCCAATCATATCTTACAAAAATTATCTCCCACTCTTTCTATCTCAAAAAATGGTTGCAATCAGGTTTTACTTACAGTGCACCTTGATGCCATTGAGATGAAGGAACCGCAGCAAGGCATGACGCATGAGGGCAACTAAAGAAAAAGAAGAGATATACCAAAAGATTAATATGTAAGATTTTCATAAATTAAATAATTACCTCCACCACCCTGCGGGGTTGAGTTAAAGTAGCTAACCCGGAGGTTTCTTTCCTTGAACTCGGATGAAATCTCTTCCCAGACTCTCCAAGTCTCTGCACAAACAGTCTGCTTGTAATCGAACAAGTCGACCAGATGAATAATGTTATCAAAGTCAACTAAGTAAAACACGAGGCTTCTTTTAATAATCATAATTCTTTTAAGCTTCTTATCATTCTTTATTACCTTCAACCTATAGCACAGAAAAGAAAATAGTAATACGAATAGCAGTAATGAGTAAAAAAAAAAAAGCAAACAAATAGTCAAATTGAAACAGTCAGAAAGATATATACCTCATGCTTGAAACCAACGGATACTCGAGGGATATTTCCTGGGTACTGAGGACTCAGCCTGCAGAGAGAGAGAGAAAAGGATAATCTTTAGATATCGAATTGACATTAAACCATTTATAGTTATAGTCTGATAGACACACATTACAGCTAGTGCAAATGGTACAAATGGTATCCAGACACCCATAACACATACACACACAAAGAGATAAAGAGATCAATATAACTTTACCACATAACTGATTTACGAACAGCTGAACTGGCTCGTTCATCAGAGGTTTCTCCGTGTGTCTTGACACAGAATGGGATGGCATCAAGTTCCTTCCAGAAGCTGCTCATTGCGGTTTCCTTGTTGATGTCAACCTGGAGCGATGCATCGGCCAGACGCTTTGAGCAGGCAATGATCTGGACCTTGTAGTGCTGGGTGGTAGAGAAAGCCAAGACGATCTCGCGTAGTCTTGCCAGAGCATCGACGGTACACTCTTCTCTGGTGGCATCCTCGTCGTGCTTCAGAAGCTGACCAGTATAAAAGTCGGTCGTGTAGGAACCATCATGGACCGAGATAGAATACTGGGATGTATTATCATCGCTGATTTCAATATCTACACCAAGATAGACAGGCTGAGGGATGTGTGCAATGGAGAAGCGTCTTGCAGGAGGAGCACAAGGGACATGATCAGGATTTGGTGGCATTTTTTTTAATTTCTTGGTTTAAGGTTACTGTTGACTATTTGATAAAGAAGTGTAGTATAATAAAGTGAATTAAAGTGAAGTAATGAAAGCCACAATAAAACTAAAAAAAAATATGTAAAATAAAATAACCCAGACCTTTTTATATAAAAAAATAAAAATAATTCTTCTTTTTTAATTCTCCGTCGCATGAATTCTGCTTTCTTTTTTTTTTTTTCTATTTTTTCATATTTGGATTATTTTGGTTTTTGTGTGTAAGAAAAAATAATAATCCATTTTTAGGGTGTACAAATTTTTTTCTTTTCTTTTCTTTGTTAATTTTAATCTTGCGTTTTTTTTTTATTATTGCTTTTGTAATTCCGAAGTGGGTTCTACACTATTTCATATGGCCCTCTTTATTTTATATTATTTTTCTTTAAATAAAAAAAATTTAGTTGATCAACATGGGTAACATTGCATCGCACCATGTACAGGCACTGAACAAGACACAGACCGACACAAGATTCTACCCTCCTAGAGAAACCAATTCTGGTACCAAAAGAGCCACAAGCCTACCAGCAGAGCTACAACCACACCAAAAGCCTTTTCTCTCCAAGTTCGGTGCTGCAAAAGCTCGTATACACCGCACCTTTCGTCCCAAACCAAAAGATCAGACCAACAACAAGAAAACCAAGAAAGGCGAAAAACATAGCAAAAAGAACTCGCAATCTAGCTCAAGTCTGATAGAATTGGATCAATCACAATCTCAGAGTATTTCTGATGGTAACAGACGATATAGTCACCACAGAGACTCCAAGTACCAATACCCTATCGATGAACAGGAACAAGATCGTTTGATACAAATGGTGAGTTTTAAAATACAAATGATTATATAATATATATAAATAATGTATATATAAAAAATACACACAATAAAGCATGCAAGGAAAAAAAAAATTGTATATTATATTGTTATTAAAAGATATCATAAGAAATTTTAATACTAATATCCAATCATTGATATATGTTTATTTATTTATTTTAGCACTTTTTATTGAAACAGTGTTTTGATGGCAATTTCTCGGCTCCGGTCAAAAACCTACTGTCTCGTACAGCCCTGACTTCTTGGGACTCCTCATCAATCAACCGCGTATCTTGGGCTACATCGGCAACCTCTCAATCTACACAGTCTTCCATCAGAAACACGTGGGTGCGCCAGTCGGTCCCGCCCCGGGTGCTTGACATTGCATGCGGTACAGGAACCTGGGCAATGGAGATGGCTGTCGACTTTCCTGACGCCGAAGTCCACGGAGTCGACATCACCGACACTATGTACCCTCTTACCATCAAGCCTCCGAACGTATCTTTTATCAAGGCCGATGTTCTGGATCCAAAAGGTCTCCCTTACCCAAGCGAGTATTTTGACTATGTTCACATGCAATTGGTCTATGCTTGCTTCTCTAGACCAGACTGGACTGTAAGTAAACTCAACAACAGCAATCTATTCATATTAACGTCTGTCTATCAAGACGATCGTCAAGGAGATTCGGCGAGTTCTCAAACCAGGCGGCTATGTTGAGTTTCGAGAATTGGACCCCATACTCCACAATGCGGGCCCTGTCACTGAAGCCTTTCTGGGATCACGTAAGTTGTCGCCTTTGTGCTAATCGAATCATCTTCTCCACATCTTATACGTGCCCCCTCCCCACACCTTCCTTTTTTTTTATTTTAATATTTCTTTCTTTCTTTATCGATCTAACTATCTTACTCATCTATTCAACTACCAATCAATCAACGACTTGTTTCCATATGCATTTATATATTAATACATGTCTTTAATGAATATCATTTAATACTAATACTAATACTAATACTAATATTAATGATAATGATTATGATGACGATGATAATAATATATTATGTATTATAATTTAATTTAATTTAATTTAATTTGATATAATCTGGTTCCAGTTACCAAAGGCATGGAGCGGTTGCACGGCATCAACTCCTTTTGGAGTCGATATCTCTGCCAGTATATCGAACGACCAGGCGACATGACAGACATCCACCACGAGATAGTCTCGGTCGGAGTGGGATGGGGTAGGACTGTGGCAGACATGACGTACGAAGCAGTCGAGGAAGACTTTCGGGCCGTCAAACGCCTTGTACGCACGGCCCTCTCTATTTCGAGCGAAGAGTATGAGTCTAGAGTGACTACGATGATGAACGAGATGAGGGCCCACAAGACATATGAAAACTACCACATGTGCTGGGCACGTAAACCCTTACTTGACCTGGACTCTATATTTTATGACCGCCAACAAATGCCAACCAATATTATGATTAATAACAGCAGTAAAAATATTGATATTGACAGCAATAGCAGCGACAAGAAAAAGAAGAACAATGTTGATTATAGTAATGATAATATTCTACTCCAGCAAGATCCTCATCATCTTCATCAACATCACCTCTACCATAACAATATCAACAATTGCCTCTATTACCAGCTCAATAATCCCAGCAGGATGCGTAGGATGTCTTCCATGTCTTGCTTGGAAGGAAAGATGAAAGAAGAAGAAAGGAGAAGAAACGATACTGTGTCCGACATTTACCAGTTTGTGGAAGGGTACAATGCATCTTAGCACCTTTTTTCCCACAACCATCATCACCATAACTACCATCATTTCCATCATTTCTACCATCACCGCGGCCACTATCACCACAGCAACCATAACCATGGCTACGACCACAAATCAAATCAGAAAAAGAAATCTTAACCGATTTTTTTTGTTCTAACCATTTTGTTTGATTTGTTACTATCTCTTAAGAAGAAAAGCACAAACACAAAACACAAAACACAAACAAACAAAAAATGAGCTCAGATACACTCACTACCTAGCTACACTATTTCTCTCACTCTCTCTCTGTGTGTGTGTGAGAGAGAGATATTTGTTTTAGAGCTCGTTGTTTTAAGAAGGAGAATTTATATATGTATATTCTCAGTATTGTTATTATTCTTATTCTTATTTAATGCTTGTAGTTTTATCGTTATATTGTTATATTCTATACAACATTGTTATAATCACCACAAATACCATCTATTGGTCTACAGCCATATTTCACCTCTTCATTCTATCCATTTATCTATTTATGTATGTACCAAAAAGAACCAAATATAAATCAATCAATTGAAACCACAAGTATAATTACAGTTACAGTTACATGGAGATAGAACTATAACCATAATTATCGTACATATTACGGTTTTTTTTATTAATGTTAATATTAAAAATTAATATTTTTAAAATAAAATAAAATAAAATAGGATTTTAGTAAAAGAATCAATGGACTCCATTTCACACACACACACACACAGAGAGAGAGAGAGAGAGATATCAATAAATAGAAAAATTTGAATGTGGTTTTCCTTATCTTTGCCATCAAATCGAACCACACCAGTCAATCTGGGTAAAAATAATAATAATAATATCCTTTCTTTTCTTGTATGTATTCTATGATTCTTATTATTATTTTTTGGCGCTCTTCATGGGACCCATTCTATCTGGCTATCTGGCTATCTGGCTATCTATCTATCTATCTATCTATCTATCTATCTATCTAGTTCTCTCTCTTGATTTATTTAGATATATATATAGAATATACACTTCAGTATACCTTGGACATCTAGACATCTTTATGTCAAGTATCTATATAACAATATTCAGTTTATTGCTTTAATTACCTTTCAAACAAGGTTGTGTAATTGATCGAGATTCCCTCTCCGAAAATAATATATAAAAAAGTAAGCCATGTAAGCCATCAAAAAGTACCACCATCACCGCCACTATCATAACCATTGCAACCCAAACTATCATTAGAATAATCGTCATTTATTTATATAACAATTAATCAACTAATTAATTAATTCATTAGAATGGAGCCTATAATATTATACAGTAAAGAATCATATTTACTCTTTTGTTTTCAATTCTTACCTTTTAATATATGCACAAAAACAATTATCCGTTAATATTAATAGCTAAAAAAACGACAATTTGTACTAAAATAATGATCAAAAGAGATTCAAATTACTTTTTGGCTGTCTATATTTTTGCAAATAAATATATAAAACAATACCACAAGAAGCCTGGAACCCAAAAAAAATAAAATTAGAATTAGAATTAGAATTGGAAAATCCTAAAAGACGTATAGTATGGTTTACAAATAGCACGTTTATACCTTTATGTCTGTATGTTTGGATGTACACAGTATACATTCCATAATAAAGAAAGGTCAAGTCATCGCGTTCCCCACTCTAGTTCTATCCAATCAATTCCAATCAAACTTCAAGTCCATGTCCCAACCCCAGGTTCTTTATAGAACTTTATGATTTCAATGGAATTTTTGTATATAAACCTTAAACCAAATGATAATTATAAACTCGGTCTAACCTATTTGAATGATCGATAAGAGCAAGAAAAAAAAGGCAAAGTATGACATATGTATCTTATGAAAAAAATAGAAAAATAAAATAAAACACACCATGACAACCATGTATAAAATATAATATTCTTCTTAAAGAGACTTTTAATTACCACTACATATACTACTACTACTACTACTACTACTACTACTACACACATGTATATATATATATATATATATATATTATTTTGTTTTTTGAATACTTTCTCTGTTCCTTTTCTTCTCCTTCTTTTATTTTTTCGTATGTTTTTTCTCTCTCATAAAATATAATAAATAAGATAAAAGACAAGAAGAGTAAAGTCAAGAAGTGTTTTTTTTCTGGTTTTTCTTTTTAAAGATAAAATAAAAATAATAAAAAAAAAAGACTTTCAAAAAAAAGAAGATAGAAGAAGAAAGATAAAGAAGTGAAAAAAAAGGGGAGAAAGGATTTGGGGGAAAAAAAAGGTGTGGTGATTTGGTTGGTGAATAAGAGAGGAAGTTATGAGCTAGAAAAAAAAAGCTGGGAATAAAGGTTTCTAAAAAGTCTTTTTGTGAATGATATCTGGGTCTTCTTGGTATTCTTCTGCAGACACCCACATCTAAGCAAATAAATAGAATAGAATAGAATAGAATCGAAAATGAGTTGGTCAATTTGAAATCACAACATTTTCAAGTAAAAAAAAAAAAGTTCATTAAACAGATAAGTCATCTTGCTTACCTTTTTAAAAGTACTGAGGGAAGCAAGAATGGAACCACCAATCCAAGTAGAGTATTTGCGCTCAGGAGGAGCATAAATCTTGATCTTACTGTCCTTGAGTGCAAGTCGCTTGATCTCAGACAGCAACCTCTCACCAAAGCCTATGATATACAAAAAAATAAATCGTTAGTACTTTGCTTTCCATCGTCTTTATATATATATATATATCAAAGTACCTTTGCACAAGGTAGATCCACCAGAAAGAACAACATTAGAGTACAAAGACTTTCTCAGATCCAGATCGGCACGGCTAATACAATCCACAATCACTTGGTGGATACCTGGGTATTCCTCACCAATCAACTCTGGCTGGAAAAGAATCTCTGGGGCTCTGAATCTTTCAGCACCCAACTTAAACAGCCAGCCAAAAAAATCAATCAATTGATTAATTAGTTAATTAATTAATTATGTACTAAAAGAAAAGAAAAACTAATCATTGTTTATGGTTCACTCACTTTAATAATGTTACCGTCTGGCAATTGGAAATCATCCATCTTTCCACTGGTCTCCTTCTCTTCCTTGACTGGATTAAGTGCAATATAACATGTCTTTTCTTTAATGATTCGCACAACTTCCTTCTCTGCAGTGGTGTGGAAGTTGTAACCTGATTTACGCAACAGCAATTGAAGGTATTCTGTCACATCTCTTTACAAAGGGCACAGAGAAGGTTAGTGTTTGATACGAAACCTTTTTCCTTTCATTCTCTCTCTCTCTATTCTATGAATCTTTATATATATATATATATGCCGAATACATACCTTCCTGCAATGTCGATACGTCTGATAGCATGGGGAATAGCAAATCCCTCGTAAACAGGTACGGCATGAGTAACACCGTCACCAGAATCAAGCACGATACCAGTTGTACGTCCAGAAGAGTACCTAATGTAAAATTGTAATGATGTTAATTAGCATAAGATGCCTATCTCTCTATATTTCTGTATGTGTATATGTATACGTGTGTGCATGTGTATAGGTGATAATTGACCTGTCCTGAATTCGTCCCACATACACACACGCATATAAATATTAAAAAGTAAAGACCGTACAAACTCAGCACTGCCTGAATGGATGTAAAAAGAGCTGGCACGTTGAAAGTATCAAAGAATATCTGAGCAGCCGTGTCTCGGTTTGCACGGGGATTCAGGGGAGCTTCTGTCAATAAAACAGGATGCTGATGGATTTTGATCGTGTCAATAATAATAATAATAAAAAGCACAAATCACATATTCCAAATCCAAGTCAAGTCAATTCAAGTGATTGATTATGCTATACTATAATATAGTATATTCTCTTTATCGTCATCATTATCTTCTTCTTCTTCTTCTTCTTCTTCTTCTTGTAGTTGCCTTTTTCTTTTCAATCTAAATCTAAAATCTGCAATCCTTTCTCTCTCTCTCTCTTTCTATAAAGAAAGAAAAAACATAATTATATACCTCTTCAGATAACGTCTTGAGTTCGTCGGTGTAGATATATTGCCAAATGCTTTCCATATCTTCCCAGTCTGTCACAATGCCGTGTTCAATAGGGTACTTGATCTTCAACAGACCGCGTAGTTCCTGAGCTTTGCGACCAATGAATGTGTCACCTTCGACAGCACCTGCCATGATACGAACATGTTTCGGGTGTCCGACGCTGTAAATATTATATATATAAAAGACAGATAGAAACATAGGCGGGACAGAGTTTGAATAATAGGGGCCTTTATTGTCTAGTTGTACCTTACAAAGACGGGAAAAAACACTTTGGTTGCTCCTCACCGGCAAAGCCTGCCTTGATTACACCAGATCCCTATTGAATTCATAGTAATAATAGACAGATGTTTGGTTTAGATGGAATGTTGAATGAGCTTGTTTGGATTGATGTATTTTGGTGTATTTTGGTGTATTGATGAAGCAGGATTTGTAAAAGATGAAGACATACATTGTCAATAACGACAGGTTGGTTGGTCAATACCTAAGATGAAAGAAGAAAATAAAAAAAGAAGTTAAGAAAAAAAAAACACATCCTTTTTGCTCATTTGCACTTCTTTAGACATACATCATCAAACTCAGAATTCATATTTTATTTATATATATATATATATATACACTTTTATATATATATATATTTTAATGTGCTATTGAAAGAAGAGGACGAATAACAATAATAATAAAAATAAAGAAAATAATCGCCTCAGATTAACAAGAGAACAAAAATAAAATAAAGAAGAAGAGGAGGAGGAGTAGAAGTAGGAGTAGGAAGAAGTGGGGTTTGGAAGTTTAAAAAAAAATAAAAAAAATATAAAAAAAGGAACGAGGGGGGCTCAAAGTGGAGGGAGAAAGAAGAAAAGCAAAGCGGCACATAAAAAAAAACATATGTATAAATTTATATAAAAATAAATTAAGAAAAAATCCTAATTGTGATTTGGTCAAAAGTTTTGGTGAACTGAAGAAACCAAATGAAGAAAAAATAGATAAATGTACAGAAAAAAAAGCAAAAGCAGAAAGTATAGGTAAAGAAGAGAAGTGGGAGAATAAGAGGAAGAAGGTAGGAGGAGGGAGGGGGAGACAGGGCAAGTGGTTAATTATTGACAATCATTGATTCAATACTCACTTTCCCTTTATATATATTTGCTACGTCACATTTGATCACCAAGAAGTACTGGACACAATGTACTTCTTTAATAATTTAAAAGAAGAATATGATGGTTAAAACCGATCAGTTTATATGTTAAAATTTAGTAATATGTACCCTCTTGTTCATGGTTTGTTAAGAAAGCAAAGTCTTTATTTACTGTAGATTTGTAATTTGTGGTTTGAAGCATAATGTTGTCTCAATAATGTTTAAATAAATTAAACTTTTTTTTGTTGAGAAAAGGGGGCTATTTATTTTGGTTTTTTGGTTTTGAAAAATAGTAGTAGTGATACTATAGATATATCAAAAGGTGCGTTTGTACGTATTACTTGTATTGTACATATGAGACCCACATGAATTATAAAAATATACATATTCAAAAATGGTCGCACAACGTGTGATTTTGTAATACCTTTGGTACAAAAATCCCATAAACGATACTAGGTGAACGCCTACTTTGCTTGTAGAATCCATTACTTCACATACATACGTATATAAATATATATATATATATATATTGTGCGGTATAATATAGAAGAACAAGAACAAGAAGATTATATTTGACTTGAAGAATACAAAACAAATCATCAAAAGACTTTTTACTGGATTTTCAATAAAACAGAAAGCATAAAAAAAAAGTTCAAATTCTTTTTTAATTTTTTATTTTCATTTTGAAAGGGTACTCAGACGGATTCTACGTAGAATTTTTAAAATCGAATAATTTTTAAACCCTTAAAATTCTACGTTGAATCCGTTTGAGTACCCCTTTAAATAACAAACAAATCCAAATATTTTATTTATTTTAAATAACTGACATCTGTAAGCACTATCTGTGTTTACATTTAAAGTTTATAGAATCTTGTGCTGTTTGGTATACATTTTTTTAAATTTACGCTATTACCACCGAAGTAACAAAAAATATATTTTTTAAAATACGACATTAGGAGTGAAAAAATATTGTTTAATAACCAATAGAAAAAAATATAGACATAATTTACTAGTCTCCGAAATTTGTATACTCTTAGGAGTTTTAAACAAGTATTAGCGAAAAAGAAAAAAGAAAAAAAAAAAAAAACTTAATAGTTGTGATTTCTTTTTTCTTTTTAAAATTTTCACCCAATTAAGACTTGCTTATATGTATAAGTATTTCTTATAAGACATGAATTAAAAAGTAAATAGAGATCAAGATAAAAGTGAGCTTTGAGCAGGGTCGATGATGCCAAAGAGCTTGTTACGTATTACCAGATAAATTATATTTTACTATCAATTTATTCTTAATTTTTTTGTTTGCTTTTTTTTTTCATTGCCATGATATAGGTAATGGCAATAGTAATGAGGGACAAACTGATTTTTTTCGCTTTCCTTATTTTATGTTCTTATCTTTCTTTTTTACTTGATGAAATATAAGAAATTGATTTTGGCCTGATGTACCTTTATTTTTTTTGTTTATTTTATTACAAAATACGTGACTGTGGGGTTTAACTTCTCTTGAATTGAAAGGGTATTCTATCCAATTCTCATTTTTAGCTGTCGAAAAATAAAATGAAACGAGAAAAGGCTACAGTATAATGTAGTGAAATTTCCCTTCACTTTTGAACAGTAGAGAAATATAGATTAACTGTTGATTTGAAATTATAGGATGATTTTTATATATATAAAAAAAACGATAATGAAATTTTGGTCTTGTAATTGAATGTACAGAATGCAAAGGAAAGTACTTGTCGCTTGAGTCTTAACTATATAAAAAATAAAAATAAATAAAAATAAAAAAAAAATTAATAATAATTTTATATACAGATTATATATATATATAAATAAAAATAAAAATATATATGTGTTGGAATTTTATTTAATTTGTACAAGCTTCAAGCTCTTTGTTTCTTTTGTTCTCCTTTTACTTTTTTCTTTCTTTATTTCTTTCTTTAAAATGCAATCACGAATTTCTTATCCAGTCCAAGTAAATAACATAAAACTTTATTACATTATGTTAATGATGCACTCATTTAAAATTATTTTTCTTCTTCTTGAATGTTTGTCTAGAAACGTGCATTGGGGATCCCACAAGATCTATCCCAAAAGCAACGGGTGGCTTTCCATCAACAGGTTTCTGACAACAAGAAAATTGTCGACATTACAGTGAAAAATCCAGAAGAACAAAAACATGAATCCGTAAGCAATTATATATATATATATATTCGAACAACACCAATACCCAACAACAATAACAATAAACACCAAAAACGAAGAAAGAAATAAAGAAATAAAGAAATAATACATTAAAATGATTATTATTGTTATTTTCTTTTCTTATAACCACTCATTAGAATGTTTCTGACCAGACAAGACAGATTCCAATGGTAAAATTCAATTTGAATGAATCTTTTATAAGAATCGTTATAATCATATACAATACAAACCAATTGATAAATAATAATAATAATAATAATCAATAGTCTTTTTTGCCCACCAACAACACCGGCATTGAATTACCACGACGAAAAAGTGGACGTTTGGCTTCTAGAGCTGCTACTCCAGAACAAAAGACCCTCTTTGATATCATCAACCCACAGGAAAAGACGCCTACACCAACACCAACGACCAACAGAAACAAGAACAATATCGAAACAGAAGCAACCAACAAGGCTGTTGGAAAATCAGTTAATATCTTGCCACGAAAGAACGCATTGGCACAACAGACATTACTTAACACAACCAAGAGAGCCAAGAAACAGCACGTAAACGAAAACATTGAGGAACCAATCGAAATCTTGCAAACAGAAAATAATGCCTCCATCGAAACATACACAGTAGTAGCAGTAGTAGAAAAAGAAGAAGAGGAAGAGGAAGAACAGCAAAAAGCATCCAGTTCTATTGAAGACACCAGTGTTAAAGCACCTGAAATCAAAGAACGTGTAGAAGCCACATTCGTCGAGCCTCAAACCATCATCTCGGCATCACTGTCATCACCAATTGAAAAAGAAATACCTTTGAATGTACAAATCCCCATTTTAGACAACAATTCAGACGCTGTAAAAGCCCAGGATCAACAGGAATCGATTATGGCAATCAATCAAACCACAACCATTGTAAGTATGTTCACGATTATTATTACTATCGATATTACTATTCTTTTATATTACATACTTACTGACATTTCTATATTATATTGTACCTATAGAACACAGACAATCGTATCGAGGACGAGAAACTAACGCTTACAAGATTACGTGATGCATTGGATATTAAATTGACCTTCCATGCTGCACAAAACCAACCTGTAATCTTTCACAAAATTCAACAATCGCTGTGCAATTCGACAAGAAAGTATGTAAACGAGAAAAGCAAAGAAAATAAAGAAGTGCATTGTTAATCAATTGAATATCTTACCTATATATATATTTTCTTGTTAGGAATATTTCATTGTCTCACATTGCAAAGCTCATATATCTTGCCCCCGAGCTCTACACTATTCAGGCAAAGGCACTTCGTGAACTAGGAAGAACAATCGAGGCTTACCTTTTGGAATTCGGAAGTACATGGATCCCCCCTCTTTCAGGAAAGAGTCTTCAAGATCGTAAAGAAATCCTTGCTTCTAAGATCAAGTTGTTTTTTGGCGCAAGCCCAAAGGTAAATCTAATAATCTCTGTTTTTATTATAAAAGATATATATATATATATCTGCTTATTTTACTTGCATGTTTTTGTTGATTTTAATATATATTATTTTATAAATATTTTTTTCAATTATAAGTCTGATGTTTCTGTACCTGAAGCCGAATTACCAAAGATTGACACCATAGTTAATAAGGATAAGTGGTTGGAAAGAGCAAATTTGCCCGCAAGTGTGAGTACAGATACACCCACAACCACACAAATATAATTCCCATAGTCATATAAATACATAGATAGGAAGAGGAAAAAGAAAGAAAGAACTAAACATTATTGCTTAATACTTACTAAAAATAATAATAATAATTGCGAATTAGGTTCGTGCTGTTCTGGAAAAACAGGAACAAAGGAAAGAGGCAACACTCGCAGCACAAGGTCCAAAACAAACACCAGTAGGAACGGTGAAGGACAGAGCAAGTGCACTTCTTGAACGTGTAAGTATTGTACTCTTCTTTTGTGTGTATGGTATATTTCTAGCTTGTAAATCTCACAAGCCATCTTTTTCTTTTCTTTTTCTTATTTTGGATCTTCAAATATCTAGTTACGGGCAAAGGCAGCAGCAAAGAAGAAGTAAATCAATACTATACATACACACACACACACACACACATATATATATATATATACATACATATAAAATATCCAAAGTTTAGCTGATTATTTGCAAAAATTATCGAATATATAAATCATTACTATTGTATTCACTACAAGACAAATAAAAAAAAAAGGCAAATATATTACTTTAAAATAGACAACATATTTGATACCAGTTTGTATGTGCGCCTTTGTGGCTCAGCAAACATAAATGATCAATTGTTTGTCTGGAGTAAAGAAGGTTAAGCTCAAAATTTACGAAACAGACAACAAAGCAAAATAGAAGATGAGTAACTGGTGTCTTATATTGTTGTTATCATTACTACTGTTTTGGTCTACTGCATTCACCACTATGGTACTCTAGATTACAATATAGACAAGTTATTCTATTCGGCTTGGATCAAATACACCACTTCAACAGTTAGACCTGATGGTGATTAAACATACCCAGAGAGAAAGAGAGATAGTACATTATATTATAAAGTAGTGTATTGTGTATAATGAATATAATATATGTCTGCAAATATCAAGAGATGCCTATGATTGTCATTACGGTCTGATGTTGTTATTTTTCCAAGGCTACATATGTATTCTGATCGGCCATCTGGGCGAACTGCAGGCGTCTACGGCTATCGTTTCGCTTTCTCATGAAACAGAATACCATAAACCCAATAATAACAAGAACCTTTTTTTTTAAAGCAAATTAGCAATAATCTATGATTAATGCGATTGAATCAATTACAAATAAACTTCTTGTTTGTTTTAATTAGATACTTACCACAAATATGACACTGACAATGACACCAGTAGTAGCCTTTGTTGAAAGACCGGAAGACTCGACTGTGGTTGTGGCTTCTTCAACCCCGCGTTTTTCAACCTTGTTGGTTTGGGATCCAAATACAGGCTGGGATGTCCATGTCCAGGTGTTTAGGTCCAGAGCCATGGCAATATCGTCAGTGGCATATCCCAAGTATTCTCCAAATAACACGATCATGTAATTCTCAACTACCACAACTGATCGACCAAGTACATACATATACCGTTAATAAATACAATCAAACCTGTGTTTTTTATTTATTTGTTTTTTTAGATAGGACAAAAGTATAGAGCCTCTTACCAGAATGGCGGCATCTTTTGCTTGGTGGGGTACCGTATGTATTCTTCTTCTCCCAAGTTCTGGACTCAATATTGTACAGCCATATATCATTCATTCCAACCATATTACCTAATAATGATATTAAAGAAGAATGGAATTAGATATTAATTTTTTTTTGCAAGTTTTCAAATTCAAGCCTCATCGATTTTTTTTTGCTCATTCTGATATGGTTGGCTATAGAGATATTATTACTTACTATCACAGCCACCAAACATAACAACAAATTTATTTGTGGGGTCTATAGACAAAATAATAAGAAGCAAGAGAATTTGATGAGTTTAACTGCCATTACTAGCATTATTTTGATTCTTTAATTTTTTGTTACCCATGATTGCAGTGTGGCCGTGTCTAGATTCTGGTAGTGATCCACTGAGCGAAGTGGTACCGGTCAGTTTGCTGTACTTTTTCTCCCCTATATCAATTGCAATGATATCGTCCATCTTTACAAGCACAGACTTTTCCAAATATTCGTAACCTCCAATAACTATAAGTAAATTATCTAATGGAGAGTAGACCATAGATGAGTCCCATGTGGCTTGAGGATAAGTGCTGGTTTCGGAAGTGTAATAGCCCTGGTTCCATGTCTACAAAATATAATATTGAATTGTATTAGAGTTTTTTTTTTAAAAAAAATGAGTAGCCTATTTGCAAAGCCATCAAGTAAAACAAAACTAAAAATGTATATATAAAAATTACCGTGGTGTTAATTTTTACTGCTATATTGTATAGAGTAGTAATCTTTTGAGGTAAGCCTATTTGCGAGTCTCTAATATATATATAAAAATGAGAATTCCGCTTAAATTACTATATGTTCTTCTTGTTTCTTTTCTCTTGTTATACTAAAGTTTTTCTTTTTTTCGTTCTTTCATTCATTTTCAATTCATCAGCCCTTACGTTACACCACCAAAGGACCAGATTGCACCATTGGCATACACTGCTGGAGTTGTAACTCTATATAGAAAAATATATATACATATATTGAATGTTTGAGACGTCAAGATTTTAAATATATCAATATATACATTAGTTTCTTACATGGGTTTATAGTTATTCATTTGCTTCCACAATTTTTTTGATGTTGAGTAAGTGTAGCCATAGTTGGGAGGGCATCCAGGGCAGACCTTTCCACCTTCTATGTAAATTGAGTCATCGTCTCCTGTGGGAGAAAACATGAACTTGGATGCAGCTTGCGGAGCCACATCGCCTGAAGCCTTTGGAATAGTTTTCCACTCTAAAGTCTTTAGATCCATCGTGCCTTTGTCTGTGATGTCTAGACTAAATACTGGCATATCATTGGAAGCACTAGAGAATGGCTCTCCACCTACAAACACATTTAATATACTTGGAAAACAAGAAACAATACTATTGACTCTATATGGTTTAACTTTTGTTTTACCAAAGCAATATATCTCTCTGCTGTGTTTAATGTAAGCACACCCTTAATAAAGCAAATAGAAGACAGAATTCTTTTGAGTACAACAGCACATATATATATATATATATACATATCATCGTTTTGTTTTAAACGCATAAGAAACAATAAATTTACCTTGTCCATATCGAGATTCAATTGCCTGAACAGTTCCAGCAAGGGCAAGGCAGATCAATCCCAGAATTGGTTTGTACATAGAGAGTTATATAAAATGAAAATGAAAAGAGAATAGGTAGTCAAAAAGATAATTATCAAAGGAATCCAATGTTAAAATGTATGTATGCATATATATATATATATATATAGCTACAAAATCTGTACGACATTTAATCTATCCAAGAGAAAAAATCAGCTTCATACTTATATAAATATAAATATATACATATTTGTACATTTATCTATCAATATAAAACACATTTACGTGTAACCATGGGATAATGGTTGGTTAAGCCCAGCCATTTAATTCAAATATATTTGCAGAACAGGCTGTGCTGCTTAGATGATTTTTCTTCTTCTTCTTTGTATTCCTGTGCCTATTCACCAAAGCCATGTGTGTGGCTAAGGTCGTTATATGAATATAAATTCATATTTACATCTATATTTCTACAGAAAATAAGCTGTGCCTAATTAGAGCCTATGGTTCTGTTATAAGGTTGTTGGTTCTCACATAAATATTTTATATCATGGTATAAATCGCCTCAGCCAACAGATTTTTCAATTTGCTTTCACGAATTAGAGCGTTTCACCAAGTTTCTTTTTATTTTTATTTGGTGCTTGACATTTCAATGCAGTAATACTTTAGTCAGCATCCAACAATAATAAATATTGTAAGAAAAAAAAGAGAACGAAAATAAGCTATTCTGTGAAAAATACTTTGAACACTTTTGGGTACGATATTATTAAGTCAGACTTTCTGTAATTTTTGACTTTAATATAGCCAGCACTTATGCAGATTAAATATCTTTTATTTAACAATTAATGGTATACCTACTACTACTACTACTACTACTACTAAAAAAATTCTAAATTTCGGCCAAGTCTACAACATTTAAGCATTTAAACTTTTTTTTGCATACTCATCGCAGTCAATAATTTAGGCAAAATCAAACTGTCGCTACGTCAAAAATCTAGCGTCTAAAAGCTGGTGAAACCCTCCCCTATTCTGATTTAAAGATCAAAATAACCTTTAAACAACCATTTTTGAAACAATAGAATATAGTGATTACATTTTACTTTTTTTTTGAAGTATTAAAATAGGTATCTGGCTAATGCTTATAAATGTATTCTGATAATAATAGTAATAAATATTCATGTCAAATAACGAATTTCTTCCTATAATTGTAACAGAAATAAGAAGGAAATTGTGTCGAAGCCACAACTGGTAGAAAATTGAAAAATACTTTTACACAAGTAATCTGATAACAATCTTTTTTTTTATACATCAGTAACATAGATATATCTATATAAAAATTAATAAGCCAGACAGACTCAAAAAATTCTGTGACCAATAAATCAAAGATGTTCATAGAGAATAATCAAGGTGACGTGAATCAATTGATATAGGGGACAAATTTGTTTTTGATTCTCGATAGGGGGGAATCATGGATCATGGATCATGGATCATGGATCATGGATCATGGATTTTGATTTTTAGCTGTGGGTTTTGTGGATCAGGATTTTTGGCTGTATTTTCCGATAGATGCCAAACATCAGATACGATGACCCCTTGTCTTTGGCCTAAAAATGGCAACAAAGTGAAGAAGAAGCATGTAAATCTCCACTGACACCCAACGAGCACGGACCTTTTGAAATAGTATATAAAGGCTTGACATTTTTGCACTTCTTTCCTTTTTATTACATACTTTTAACCTCGTCTCTTCTACCAAGCCTTTCTTTACCTTTACCTTTACCTTTACACCACACAACCAACACTCTACAATGCAGATCCTCTCTATCCAAAAGCGTATTATCTCAAAGTGCCAGCGTCGCCAGTCTTCAACTACTAATACCACAAGCCGTGTTTCCACATTCACTTCATCAATGGATCAATGCATGAAAGGCCTCGCTTCAGTCAAGAAAGCCTTTAGCTGTAACAAAGTCCAAAACACAGTCGCACCTTCAATGATTTCATCTTCATCGACAATCTCTGATGACTCCTTTGTTTCTGCCCTTTCTGATGACGAGAACTTTTCCAAATCTTGCCCAGTATCTGAAAAATCCATGGCCCTGGATTCAATTATCTTTGATCATCCTTCAGTCACAGTCCGCATTAGACCAGCCGCCTATCGCTCCTCTTAAATCGATTTCAATCATTTGTACATACAACCACTGTAAAAAAAAATACCCACATACCCACCTATACACTGTATCATAAGCCAGCCCTTTTTCAACCAATATATATATATATATAATATCCACTGCATTATCTATACATCATCAAAATTATCACACCCAAACAAGAAAGCTCCCTAAACCAAACTCCTAAAATAAAATATAAAAAAAAGAGAACCATAAATAATACATGTGGTTGCTCTTTGTCTTCAATACCAATAAATATATGAATTTCATATTTCTCTTAAAAAAACATGTACTTCTTTTGTCTCTGACTGTATTTGGATTTGGATTTAGCTAGCTTATAATAAGAATTAATATAGTGAGGTGAGATTACTTCATAAATACGCTTAATTATAGCTCACTATACGACTACAATCCATGATCAATAAATTTAAAGATACTGTAATGTATAGTCGAGTTAAATGTCATCATGGTAAGCACTGCTTTAAAAAGAAATTTACTGATTCCAAGTTAAAATACACTATATATTGTTTATTTATTAACGAGAGGGTTATATTTTTACTACAAAGGTTTGTGTCCTTTAAAAGACAAATATACCTTATTGTCATGTTTGATACGATTTGGTTAATTTCACTCTTCCAATTATATCTCTATATACAAGCACACACACACACACACACACACAATACTTTTTTCCCTTTTAACAATCACAAGCACAAGAATTTCTCTATACATATACATCTCAGCTACAAAAATAATACTATCCCATAGAAAACTAAAAGAGAATAAAGCCTTCTGTAGGCATTATATATATATATATATATGTATGTATGTATATAATAAAAGCGCAAAAAAACAACAACACAGAACGAGAGAGAGAGAGAAAACAAATTATGATTTGAGATATTTACAATTTTCCATGGTAATGATCCGACAACTCATCAAGTAAAAGCTGTCGTGCCTTAATTCCCTGAATTCTTCGACGATGTCCAGCCAACCAGAGCATTGTTTCGGCATATGTTCTAGGCAACACCCTCTTGACCTTTACTGCATCATCCGTACATGCCATTGTAAAGTAAAACACATTTGTAGTCTCTCGCTTTCCGCTATGGATGTCAATCACCTGGGCAACCACACGCAATTGAAGTGTCCGATGAGGATAACCCTCCGCATGAACAACTCCTGCCTTTAGATTCAGGACCGCACCAACGTGAACCGGCTTTCTAAAGATCACTTGGTCCATTGCCAAAAGATTGTTTCCCGGGGTATTGGTAAACAAGGCTGCTTCGGCATAAGCCAGTTCATATGCTCTTCGCATCAGGTATCCACCAAAGATGTTGTTGTGGATATTACGGTCCTGGGGCTGCATCAAGAAATTGCTCTGTAGACGAGTATCCGACATCCAGATCAGGTTTTCTGGTAAGGGCATTCGACCGTCGGGTAATGTTGTGCTAGTAAAAGTGTCTTCGGATGTATCGCAATATTGGGAGTATTGAAGAAATATGTCATGAATTGCCAGGCGTTCATCCGGAGTTGGAGGTTGTCGTGTGAGTGCATTATCTGCAGTCTTTTGCTTACGCCTCTTGTTGGCCTTTGCGAATTCAAACATACGTCTCTCTGCTGACGACGTTGTAATCAGCGGGTTGACACTGATTGGCTTGTTGGTGTATGAATCAAGAGCAACCATGGTGAAGCGTGTGGCAAGAATAGTGTTGGGACCAAGCATACCAATATCCTCTGGCTTAATTACAGTTTTTGCCTCATTATCTCTCATGTCATAATCTTCACCAACTGTTTCTGCCTTGATAAAAACTTGATAATATTATACATATAAATATATTTTTGGTAAGTTGGTGTCAGAGTAAATAATGATAGCATTATTAATACAAAATATATGAATAATCACAATAACAATCAAAAGCCCTCACACACTTACTTACTTTCCATCGAACTATTTCCCACGTACGAAACATGACCACTGAGCTTGTAGTTTTCAACCGCATCAGGCATCATAAGGTCCAATCTATCCACACTTGCGGTGACAATTGTGGTCGGAGGAGCATCCGGATCCCCAGTATCTACATGCTTATAAGCAATGGCTCCTGCCAATGAGTCCAGATCTAACAAAGTATGTCAAGTTTAATATGTATATAATTCTTACAATGTACCGTATAAATAAACCAAAAATAATAATAATTAACAACACCTTCTAATAATTTCCCTGTTCGAATTCGTCCATCTGCAAAGATATATTCATCCAACAAAGCTGGAGAGGACTTGAAAGGAAGAAATTCTTCTATATAACTGTCTGACATCTGACGTGAAATGGAAAATAAGAACATTAAGCTCCAAAAAAAAACATATGGATGGATATATGAAACGCGTAAACAAGAAGAAGTGGTTTGCTACTTACAGTCTTTTTTACTAGAATACGATCCTTGAACGCAGTAGGAGGACCTAATGGCTTCAGATTCTCTCTTTCCATTATTTTATCCATCCAGAAACGAGTTCTACGCATATCCGTAGGCCGAGAACCTAAAGAGGTTCATTTATTTATTTATTTGCTTATTTGCTTATATATATTTATATATCAAATCAACCAAGTGTTTTATTTTATTGCGAGTAACGACTTACTCTTGGCTTCAATGGCTTGTTGGCTATTAAAGCGAGAGAAAGGTGTGTGAAGTGCACGATAATTTAAGAGACGTCGCAGATGACTTGCGATTGCATGTCGATGATTAACAAACATAAATGAATACAAACAAACAAACAAACAAACAAACAAGCAAGAAAACAAGAAAACAAGAAAACAAACAAAAAAACAAAAAAAGACGAGACAGCTATGACTCTTTTGAATGAACTCTCAACGTCATCTCGGGAAATATTATGCCCGTGAAGCTATTTTCTCTCTCACTCTTTCCCTTTTATTGATGTTTTCCTTTGATGTGGCCACATTCCTTGAGTGCTACTTGAGCGCATTTATTGATATCTCTAAATCTATCTGCACCCAGTTGCGTGCCTTTATTATATATATATATATATTAATATAAGCATAGATATACATAGTAGATATATACAGATACACATTTCACATAATAGATATAGATATAGATATAGATTGTATTTAATATATTTATATTCAAATAAAAAAAACAGATCCTTTTATATACAAAACACACTCATAAAAAAGAAAGAAAGAAAAATGTACCTCCAAACCACCGACTCACGATTACCATCACATTTTCAACATTGGCCATTTGTAATAGATGTAATAAACGCCCTTAAAATCACACACACACACATAAACATATAAATAAATCAATAAAGGATGGGTATCAGAACTATAGACTCTTACCACCTGCAGCAGTCTCTCCATCATCGTCACCCCTTTCCAGAATCTGATTACCGCTTATGATGCGATATGCCATAATATTATGGGTTGCCTTTGCAATTTTTTTGTTTTCAAGTAATCTAGCACGTACTACTCGAACTTGGTCTACATTCTGAACTTGAGCTACATGAGCCACAAAAACAGACTTTCTATCTACCAAAGGCTCTTTGGTGGAGTAGATTGGAATGTCATTTTGAGAGCTTAACCAGCGTCTACTAAAATAACATCCTCCGACTCTTCTAATTGAGCAAGATGAGAGCATACCCAAAGTAAAAAGAATAAAACAAAGCAAAAAAAGCCGAGTGCAAAGAGATTTATGTATATAGAAGGAGGTAGTAAAAAGAAAGAAAGAAGGAATAGAAGAAAGGAATAGGAAAAAAACCGAAAAGAATAAAAAAAAAAAAAAAGAATGAAGTGTGACTTGTGCTTCCAAAGGCTTCTTCCTTAAGACACACATCATGGATCTGAATGATGCCAATCAATGGCGGTTAGGTTACGACAAGCTTTGGGCAAGCCAACTTGATGACCCTATAAACTGCTTAGCTGTTGGAAAACCCTTCCTGGAAGAATTGAGCGAAGAAAATGATGTGTTGGTTGGAACCACTGCTGGACGTGTACTCATTTTGAATCAGACAAAGGTACCAAAAAAAGAAAGAAACAGAAACACATTAGCTTCATTATAATTTATTAATGTCTCAATAAATAATTTTTTCTTTTAAAAAAATGAAAGCCTGTAGAGGGTCTCTTGGATACCAAAGGAAACTCTATCCAGGCTCTCAAATTGCATGATTTGACAGGCTATGGTGCACTTGACTTGGTGGTTGGAGACTCTGATGGTGTGGTAACCCTGTTTTCCCGCCAACAGATTCTTAGCAAACGAGAGCTAGGTTCTGCAGTAATGCAAATCGAGATTTATGAGGATCAAGGTATGGGTGAAATGTATTTTTTTTTCTTTAAAAATCATTGTTAATTTTATTACTATTATTTTATATTTATATTTATATTTATATTTATATGTGTGTGTGCGCTAGTGTTAATACATATGTATGCTATATGAACCCACCTAAAAAAAAGCTGGAGGTTACGAGATAATTGCCGGTGATATGCATGGTACTCTTACTAGCTTTCAACAGCACGATGCTCTGTGGAAGCTAAATGTTGCAGAGGAATCTGCAAAAGTAGCCACTTTGGGGATTGCAGGAAGACGGTCTCCTTACATCCGCTGTGTACTATCGACCACATTAAAGGATTTATCTGGATTGAATGTGTCTTGTCTGCTTGCATGTGATGGGTGGCCATTTGTTCACTTTGTACAAGAAGGAGAGAAAATAATGACCTTGCGCGTACCGTCAATTATTCATTCAGTAAGCTCTCATCATATTTTCATAATTTAACAACAAATCAAATTAAATAAAATCAAATCAAACAGATGTGTGCAGGTCATTTTTTGACAACTTCCACAGAAAAATCATTAAATGACCAGCAACCTAAAGCAATTCATGCTGGTCAAGATGTCAAAATAAATTCAAAGCAAGTATTACTAGCAGGGGAGGATGGAAATGTCTACATACTAGTGAATTTTGAGGTAAGAATACTATACAAAGGATGAAATGCTGTACATATACAAATGTAAATATAAATATAAATATAAAAAAACTGCTAGGTTTATTTGTGGTTTACAGTCGGAATTTGCCTCACCAACATCCTAACGTTCCGTCCTTCTTGGCTTCTTGAAGAAGAACCTGATATTATCATTTGCGCTGGCCAATCAAATGGAGTTTATATATATCATGGTAGAAAGGTACAAAAATTATAGCATATAACTTTATAAATAAATAAATGAGAAAGAAAAAAGGAATGAAAACTTATGAATGTCTTCTATCTAGATGGTTGGTGAAATTACAACCGCAGACTGGCCTCATGCTATGACAATGGGTGATGTCAATGCGGATGGTCAAGACGAACTTGTGTTAGGATTATTGGATCAGACTGTTGAAGTATATCGATTGAATCAAATCAAATCAAAGGACGAGATGATGATGTCTTGTTAAAAACCTTTTTAATATAAATAAACATTATTGCTATATTAAATCAACAATACCAAAGAAAAAGAAAAGACGTGTTTGTGTTTCATTTAAAATTTATTGTGTTTCATTGCAAAGCAAAATATGTATTCATACATAGATATATATAATCAGTTATTCATAATATATTTGATATAAACTAAGCTAAGATAAACATATAAACCTAAACTACTTGGGATTCATTGAAAAATAAGGTTGTTTAACCAACAATTCCATCAAAGGCATCAGCAGTCTTAGAGATAACTCTCTGGAACCAACCGCGAGCAGGCTTGTTTTCCTCGTTAGCAATTGTAACTTGTTTATGTTCCAAGAATGTCTGAACACTTTCAGCCAGGACATCCAAACCGTCAATTTCAAGATCATATTTAGCGGTGGTGGTAACGGACTCATCACGTTGGACAAAGACAGTCAAAGAACCGGCCTTCTTGGCAGCATCGAGTACACGAGGATTGGCAGATACAACAGCGAGTTGCTGAGGGCTCTGGAGTCCAAGGAATCGGGATGTACCAGACACCAAGCCATCAGTGCTGGACTTGGAGAACTGGCCAAACATTTCGGAAGAGAACTGGGCGTGCCAGCACATGCAACCGCTCATGGCAAGATCGACCATGGACGAGGTGGAAAGGGTATCTGAGATGGCAACAGTCTTGTAGCGGACATTCTGCTGCTTCTTGATGCGATGAATGGCCGAAGTAGACTCGCCAAACAAAACCAGGTTGTGCCAGGTGACAATAAGCTGGTCAATTTCGGACTCGGACACCAAATCTTCAATGTCTGCGGTCTTGAACTCGTTGACAAGAACGGCACGAATGGCTTCATCGTCGGTGGCGTGGACATGATCAAGCTTGTGCTGATGGAACAAGATGTACCAACGAGCTACAAACGAGCTAAAATCAAATTGGGACAGCTTGGACTCTTTCTTGGACAAAACGATCTTTTGCCATGTAATAGAGAGCGACTTGCGGTAATCAACAACGGTATCAACAACATCGAAAGCGAAAGCGCGGACATTATCGAATGATCTAGGAAGTTCTGTTGTCTCGACCCAAGTGGTGGTCTTGCCTTCAAAGGCTGCACTGATGGCAGTGTGGGTAGCGTTATCAAGAATGTGGAAGACGCGTTCCTTGGTACGAGTGATAATTGTCGTCAATCGTTCTTCAACGACCTGGTACTCCTCAACATCGACACGACTAATTGCTTCATTCACAAGAGTAATCTGGAATTCCACAGTAGCGTTGACGTTGTCAATGCAATCAAGGGCCTGCTTGTGGGCGGTAGTCACCAATGTTGTAACTTCGGTGCTAGTCTGGGAAGTGGCCGAAGTTTGATCGATCGATACAAACTTCAACTTGGCCTCCTGAATCAAGACAGCCTTCTTTTTCTCAGCCTCGGTGATCAGAACAGTTATTTCCTGTCTGACATTGGGACCACCACGGCGGGTGACGACACGAATGTCTTCATGCAGAGTATCAAGCCAGCGTGTAAGGGTAGTCTTGGTTTCTTCTACAACAACCTGGACTTCAACACGAGTGCGCTCGACAATTTGTTCCTGGGTCTCTTGAACAACGACAACGGTCTTCTCATCAGATCCCTTAGTAACCTGGGTAGACTCAGTACTAACGTGGACAGCAAGGGCCTTCTCGAGCTGCTTCTTGGAAATCAAAGTGTAGTTCTCGATCTGATTCTTCAGAGTTACGGAGCTAGTGGTAGAGGTGCTCTTGGTCACCAAAGTCTTGATCTGGGTAGTCTGGGTGACGGTAGTGGTACGGATCCATTGAATTGTCTTGTAGAACGACTGTCTGTTCTCAGCCTTGTCGATACATCCATGCTGGATCTTTTCCAATGTCTTGTCCAAATCAGCCTGAGCCTCATCGACAATCACTGTCACATCTTGAGACACATTTTCTCCTCCTTGCTCTGTGCGAACAATGATCTTCTGTGTCAATGTGGTGTACCAAGTATCAACGGTCTTCTGAACTTCTTCGACAGTCGACTTCTCGATTACTTGAACCTTCTGCTGGATCTTAATAGCTTCAGCACATTTCTTATCTTCGTGATCCTTGTAAGTAGTGTAAGCAACGGCGGCAGCAGCGGCTACTGCAGCAGTGCTCAAAACAACCTTTCCAACTTGCTTTCCAAGGCTGTGCTTCTTTGTCTCGTTCTTGACAACTTCGGTGTGGGAAGTAATCTCATCTTGCAACTTTGTCTCGTTCTTAGTCATAGATTCCTCAAAGGTAGTCTTGTCCTGGAACACGTTATCGGACACGGCAGTCTTGACGGCAGTCAACTGGCTCTTGGCACTGTTTGTTAGCTTACCAAAGTAAGAGTCAATCTGTTCAGTTGTTTCGGTGTTGGACTCGGTCTTCGAAGTCTTCTTCAGTACATCGATCTTCTCCTTCAATTCGACTTCGGCTTCAGCAATAATTACATCAGCCTCAACCTTGGCCTCTTCACTGTCACGGTCGACAAGTTTAGAAAGCTTGGTTTTGAGGTTGTTGTACCAGCTCTTAACGGTCTCGTTGGCCTTCTCGGTAGTATCAACAACGGTTGTATCTACAACCTCGACATCTTCAACCTGAATTGTAACCTTCTCCTTCTCTGTTTGCTTGACTAAAAATAAAAAAATATAAATATTTATGCTTAATCGACACGTTACAATTAAGTACATACCATCGCTCTTGACTTTCTCGGATACAGTAGTAAAGGTGGTATCAATCTCCTGCTTGGTCTTCTCGGAAACCTCGGTGAACTTCTCTTGGAGAGCAGAAGTATCAGTGGTCTCGGTAATTACGTTCTTGACTTGGGTCAACTGGGCAGCAATTGAATCCTTGATGGAAACAAGAGCAGTTCCAACGGATCCCTTGATGGTCTCGTCGTCCTCCTCGTCTTCCTCCTTCAATACGGTGCTGATCTCCTCCTCAGCCTTCTCAGTGATTTTGGCAATGTCCTCCTTAACATTTTCACCACCCTCTTGGATACGGGAGTTAATGGTCTCAGTGAGTCTGGAGAACCAGCCTGTTGCAGCGACACGCTTGGCTTCGACAATTGAAGCAGCCTTCTTCGTCTTCTGTACAACGGCTTCGGCATGAACAACAGAAGTGAACTTGACACGGTTCTTAAGATCATCAAAGTGTTCATTGATTTTCTTGGTAGTAGACTTGGCCAGTGTTTCGAGCTGGCTCTTGACATCAGTGCCGTTTTCAATAGCTTGAATGGCAACATGCTCAACTTCTACGGTTTGGGTAGAGGCTGTCTGCTCAATAATAGTCAGCTGGGCAAGGTATTCTTCGCGATCCTTTGTTGACGTGCAGTGCTTAACACCTTCGGTTCTAGCTTGCTCGATAATCACTGTAAGCTCTTTTCTGTAACTCTCGACAACAACTGTAACTTGTTCAGTCTTCTTGGTCTGAGAAGTAGTAATGACTTGAGTGGTCATGGTAGAGAAACGCTTGGTGATCTCGGTTCTAGTCTTCTCAATAACACTATCGGCTGTCTCGTAAGTAACGCGGACATCATCGGTCTTCACAACCTTGGTATCTTTAGAGTTCTTGGTCAATTTGGACAATCCAACAGCGCCTGCAACTGCAGCTGCAGAGCCGAGAACAGCGCGGCTAAGGGTCTGACCAATACTGGTCTTGGCCTCGGTCTTGACAACTTCGGACTCAGTAGTGATGTCTTCTTGCAACTTGGTCTCAGTCTTCTTGATAGACTCTTCGAAAGTGGTCTTGTCCTGGAAGGCATTCTCAGAAACAGCAGTCTTGACAGCAGTCAATTGGTTCTTGACAGTGTCGGTGATCTTGCTGAAGTAAGAATCCAAATGCTCGTTGGTCTCTGTCTTCGACTCAGTCTTGGAAGTCTTCTTAAGGACATCGATCTTCTCCTTCAATTCAGTCTCAGCTTCAGCGATAATAACTTGGGCCTCGGCCTTGGCTTCTTCAGAGTCGTTGCCAACAAGAGTGGACAGCTTGGTAGTGAGGTTGCTATACCATCCCTGGACAGTTTCGGTAGCTTCCTTGGTAGTGTCGGCAACTGAGGTCTCGACAGCCTGGACAGTGAACTTCTCCTTCTCGGTTCGCTTGACTATAAAACAGAAACATCAGTAAACTATATACACTAAAAAAAAATTAATATTTACCATCATTCTGAACCTTGTCGGTGACAGTAGTAAAGGTGGTATCAATCTCCTGCTTGGTCTTCTCGGAAACCTTGGTGAACTTCTCTTGGAGAGCAGAAGTGTCAGTGGTCTCGGTAATTACGTTCTTGACTTGGGTCAACTGGGCAGCAATTGAATCCTTGATAGAAACAAGAGCAGTTCCAACGGATCCCTTGATGGTCTCGTCGTCCTCCTCGTCTTCCTCCTTCAATACGGTGCTGATCTCCTCTTCAGCCTTCTCGGTGATCTTGGCAATATCCTCCTTGACATTGTCACCTCCCTCCTGGATACGAGAGTTGATGGTCTCAGTGAGCTTAGAGAACCAGCCAGCAGTAGCGACACGCTTGGCTTCGACAGCGGATGCAGCTTTCTTGGTCTTCTCTACGACTTCTTCGGCGTGAACAACAGATGAAAAGGTAATGCTAGACTTGAGCTTGTCAAAATGATCATTGACTTTCTCGGTTGTAGATAAAACTAATGTCTCTATCTGACTTTTAACATCAGCGTCAGTCTCTATTGCGCGGATTGCAACTTGTTCAACTTCAGTAGTCTGGGTAGCAGCAAGTCGCTCGATAACAACCAATTGTTCTAGGTATTCCTTGCGTTCCTTCTTAGTGGTGCAGTGCTTTACACCTTCAACTCTGGCACGCTCGACAATAACTGTCAGTTCCTTTTGATAGGATTTAACAACTACGCTGACTTCTTCGGTTTTCTTGGCTTCAGATGTGGTGATAACTTGTGTAGTCAACGTAGAGAACCATCTGTTGATCTCGGTTCTTGTGTTTTCAATAACAGTCTCGGTAGTCTCAATAATAACAGCTTCTTCTTGTGTCTTCACAATTTTGTTGGAATCATGCTTCTTGGTAATTCCGATTACGCCAATAAGACCTGCCGCCACTGCGGCAGAGCCAAGTACAACATTACCCAGGGTCTCGGAAATAGTCTTTTTCTTAGCTTCAGTCTTAACAACTTCAGTATGGCTAGCAATTTCTTCCTGCAACTTGGTCTCGCCCTTGTTCCAAGAATTCTCAAAAGTAACCTTATCCTCGAAAGCATTCTCTGATACGGCTGTCTTGACAGATGTCAGCTGTTTCTTAACACTGTTTGTAAGCTGGCCAAAGTAAGAATCAATGTGTTCGGTAGATTCGGTCTTGGTAGTGGTCTTCGAAGTCTCTTTAATATCATCCAACTTCTTCTTCAAGTCAACTTCTGCCTCTTCAATTATAACTGCTGCTTCAGCCTTGGCTTCTGGAGTATTAACTTCCACAAGTGAAGAAAGTTTGGTCTTAAGGTTGCTGTACCAGCTTTCCACGGTTTCAGTAGCCTTCTTTGTGGTGCTATCAACTTCGACAGTGTCAACGGTTATAAGGTCATTTGCCTTGACAGTAACCTTCTCGGTCTCAGTGTGCTTAACTATAAGAGGATATCAATCAGTATAATTCTAAAAATAATTCAATTTAATAAACACACCATCAGTCTTGACTTTATCAGTAACGGTGTTAAAGGTGTTATCAATCTCATGCTTGGTC